TGCAGAAAGAATTTGAATATTCAACCTCAATATAATGTGTTTTTGGAAAAGGGAGAGGAAAGATTTATAGAAAGTGGATAGTAATTTACATATAATAATAGTGCTTTACATTTATATGCCACTGATAACTATTTTAAAGTGAACTTGTGACCCAATAGCAGTGAGCCCCAAAAAGCCAACAGCATTTCAAGCCCATTGGGCTAAGATTGATCCTAAGAAGAAGCAATTTTTTCTTCAGTGTGAAGGGAGGTGAGGAAGACATATTTAAAGAAAGATTCTTTGTGTTACGGTGGGAACTGAGAAAATGTTTTCTTCTCATCTAATGCTACAGAGAAACCCACGTGAATATAAGGAGAGTTGCCTGCTTAAAGCCATAGGATGGAGTTCATCTGAATCTGAGAGGGACCTCACTTATGGGTTTGACAAAATTCCATTTTTATTGCATGGAATTGTGCAATAAAAATCAGGAACAGGCTTACCAGTTAGAGACACAGTAAATGTTCTGTTGCAAATCTGGGGGCAGTTGAAGCCAAAGTCCCATATAAGATGGAAACCTTCAACAGTTGCAGAGAAATTGAGGACTGACCACTTTATGAGCGATACAATCAGAGCAGCTTGATTCAGTGAGAATTGTAGCTATAAGCAGTCTGGATTAGAGACAGTATTGAGACAACAGAAAAGGGAAATGGGGCAAAATATTTCTCTCAACAGTTTGGCTAAGGGGCTCATTAACACTCTAGATAAGGGGTTTGATTAATTTCCATCAGAACTGCATTCTTAAATCTGCAAGCAATATGTAATTTGCTGTACACTTTTATGCTTGGGATGTTATAAACTCATGCTATTTCAGGATGTTTTAGTGCATATAAAATTTCAAAAAAGTAACAAAGTTAAAGAAATAAAATGTAACTTAAAAACTTTTAGGTTATGTTAAGAAGTATTTGAATCAGGAGAACCTAGTCTTTTAGTTTCTATCTTCATAGATCTATGAAGGTTCTTTTGTAAAAGATGGTAGAACAAGGGAGTTTCATTGGATCAGTCAGCTCTTATTTCCACCATGTGGCTTTTCACCTCTGTTATTTTGCCATGCTCTCCCTTTTGTCTAGAATCACCTTTTCCACTCCAACATCAGCACTCCCCTGTCTCCTGCCCCCAAACACCAGGATAACTTATCCTCTCAAACAGCTTACATTGAATTTTTGCTAAAAACCTCACTATCCCACACCTGTGTGCTATTCTGTGCATGACCCTATGATTGCATTCTTGCATTTTACTTAAATTATATTTCCAACTCGGTATTCCCAAGCTGTGAACCCTCTGGGGTCAGAAGCTATGTCTTATCCATCGTTGTATCCTTAGCACCTTGCACTGCTTGTCCAGCACACAGTCTTCCAACACTGAGTGGAAGATTGAAGGGGTGAGTGAACTGTAATTTATGGCTCATTGAATTCAATCATCTTCATTTTGCAAAATAGAAAATGAAGGCCCACTCTTCTTTCTTGGCAATGCACCAGATTGGAGAATGTTCTATAAAACACTTAAAAATGGCATATAAAACATCATCAACATTATCTCCCATGCACAGAGTAAGTCATAATTACCAGGAACTCAGTTAAGTTGGAAAATGAAAACCATGTGGTGAAGGGACATGGAGGCCGCTGCTGCTGCTGCCCGGGTTTGCTGAAGATTTCTTAACCTAATGATGGTTTTGGACAGTTCTTCAGGTGGGCACGGAATTCAGTGCAAGGCCTTGGGTCAGGGCAAGGAGGAAAGTTGGGCTGTTTGATGGGTGTTTTGCTTTTGTGAAAGTGAGAACTAGGAAAAAAAATTCTCACACAAAAGAGATGATAAGGAAACTGTCTTTTTCTGCCTGGACTCTGGTAGAAAAACATCTCTAAGAATTTATAATATAGATATTCCCTTGCAGGGGTTTAGAGCCAATTTTATGTGACCTCCCTGGTTTCAAAAACCCCAACCTCAGGTGGCCTATTAACATCCTGGGGTGCCTGGCTGAGGCAATGTAAATTTCCACTGCAGGGGCAGATTTCAACCCTGATGCACAGGCTTGTCACAGAGATACATGGGCTGAATGAACACTAACACACTAATCAAATTTTATCTAACACACAGGGAAACAAATGTCCACAAGGAAGAATTATTGGATAAAGGACATAAAATTAATATACTTCAAATGTTTAAAGAAAAATGAGCCTCACTTTGGTTAAATAGAACTCAGCAAATTTGTGGCAAAAATCTAAACTGTATTCCATCCAGGGCCAGCTACATAATTTACAGGGTCCTGTGCAGAATAAGAATGCAGGGCTCCTTGTGAAAAAAATCAGGGAAAAAATGTTATAAAACGTGCTAAAAGAGAAAGCTTTTTCTTTAAAAAAAATTTTATTATTTGTAAACCATAACAGGAATAATAGTAAAGTATGAGTAACAAGACAAACTTACAAATTGCAATAATATTTTGGTATCATAATTTAAAATAAATAATAATTAGTAATATAACAACTAATTATGTAATTTTTCTGACTCAATTTTCCGCAAATTCATTTATTAGGCCATCAAAATTTATACTTTTACCAATTTAATTTTCAATTAATATAATTGAAAGCAATGTCAGTCCTCTTTGCAAATGCAAAGTTGCAAATACTTCTTGAGATAAATTCCTGATAAATTATTTTGAAATACGCATTTTAGCACATCAAGAGCTAATGATTCTTTTTTTTTTTTTTTTTTTTTTTTTAAATGGGATGGAGTCTCACTTTGTTGCCCAGGATAGAGTACAGTGGCATGATCTCGGCTTACCACAGCCTCCACCTCTTGGGTTCAAGTGATTCTTCTGTCTCAGCCTGCAAAGTAGCTGGGATTACAGGGATCTGGCATCACACTAAGCTAATTTTGTGTTTTTAGTAGAGATGGGATTTCACAGTGTTGGTCAGGCTGATTTCAAACTCCTGACCTCAAGAAATCTGCCTGTCTTGGCCTCCCAAAGTGCTGGGATTATAGGCGTGAGCCACAATGCCTGGCCAAGAGCTAATGATTCTTGCAGAAAAACTTTTCTAAAAAGATTTAACTCTATTCAAATTGGTTTATCATAAGTCTGAATTTAATTTTACATGTAAATATATACAACAGCATTTTATTTTATTGTTTTCTCTAACATTTCTCTAAAAATATTGTTTTATCTAATATTTCCTATAATTTATGGCAGTCATACAAGAAACCAAAGATGGCTTCATAATTTGTATACAATTCAGAACAACTGTTTATGCATTCTATCACTATATATCCCTTGGCAGAAAAATTAATCTTAAAATTGTCTTCCTTAATAATTGGTTCATCCAAAGCTTCATATAAGAATACTATTTTTTTTTCTTTTGAATGTGATGACTTTGAACTGTTTCTGTTTCTGAGTCTGTGGATATTTGCTCTGCAATGTTGCAGAAGTTTTTAGAACCAGATAGTTTTAATAACTCTCTGACATGCTTTAGTGCAATGTCCATGAGCACAGTTTATTTTGTAATAATTTATTGACAAAGTTTATGGCCTGAGTACAGGGAGTTTCTGTCCTAGTACTCAGACCAGAGAGTTAATTTTGGTACAGATGCTATAAGGACAGTCTTTGGGGGTAGAAGGGCAAGCCGTGATCTTGGTGCTGCCGCCATGCAGAGCACATAGTCTCTCCCTGAGCCATGGCAGCTGCTGCCACTGTTGATGTTTGTGCCCATTGCTCAGGATTCCAGAAGACCCAAGCCTGCACACAGCGTGTTCACATCTGTCATGTCTGCTCTGATCATGTTTCATTGTCTCATCAGACTTCACCTACCAAACACAAGTTCAAAGGTAAAATTACTAAGAATTTCAAGTCAGTTACAACTAAGCATTAAGCTGTGGCCCTTCAGTTGAGCAAACCCTGTGAACTGCAAATGGTCTCACCATCAGCAGAGAGCTACACTGATTATACAGTTTTATTTAGTTCCCCCAACCACTTTAAAAGTAGATACTGCAAATTTATTCTCCCCCGAGAAATACTGGGAAAATTGATGTATAGAATAATTAATTTATTGGCCTCAATTCAAACAAGGTAGTAATAAAGTTTAAGTGTAGAACCTAGAATCAAATCATCCATTTGATTTTAAGCTTGAAGTTGTTTTAGATGTTGTTTTAGATGTTTATTTTTTCATAGTCATGTCAAAAGTGCACAGATTTTCTTTATCTAAAATTTTTGGTGTTTACCAATGTTTCCCTTAGTTTACTGCTGATTCTATCCAGGAGAGCTAGGACTTCAACTCAACTCTAAGCACAGCCTTAAAAAATCCTGCTTATATTTGATGACACTTATATTTGATGAAACTCAAGAAAATTTATTATACTCCATGATGAACTGCTTTATATAGAAAGTCCATAGTATTTTTAAAGCCTTTCTATAATGAATGTGTGCAACTGTGTGGTTATGGGTGTGGATATACCACCCTGTGAGTATGTAATCTCTCACTCACACTAGATAACACTTTTTGATATGTTAGTGGTAAAGAATGTATATTTCACATGGTCTTTATATGCACATGGAAAAATCCAGTATGTGGGCTGATAAATATTTACAACATATTCATAAAGTTGGTCTACAACCAGTTTCTATGAAGAATTGTGTAATCCTTACATTGGATCACTCCCCAATCTTTGCTATTTCCATCACTACTTGAAACTAACTGAATCTGGGGTTGAGACAAGAAACACATTTATAGGGGAAATTTTGAATTTTTATTCTTCATGATGATTTGAAAGAAAGGTACATTGGAAATGGCTTTTGAAAAGCTGGATGATTGAAATGATACTCTAACAGCACTATTGGAGGCTTTGCAAATAGCTAAGTAAAGCCAGTTGGAAAGAAGGGTAAACTAAACTCATTCTTTCCAATGTCTCGTCTATCAGGAAAGAAAACATGAGGGCTATGTCTTCACTTTCAATGTGATAGGATAAACACAGAAATGGAACAGCATTCATTTTGTTCAATATTCCATGAAGGTATGTGAGCAGGGTGATATTTTATTGTCTGGGAATATAACAGATGTCTATGTCATTTCCCAGTAATGAAACATGTCAAGAAATTATCATTGCTTGGGAAAATGAAGTTTAAAAGAGCATGCTTTTGCTAATAAATCATAGAATGTAACATAATATGGTGTGACTATGTTAAACAAATAATTATATCTACAAATGGAATCTGAGCCAGAAGGGAAACATACACTCTTTTGCTGTAGTTTGTACTCCACCCACACTTACACAAGCACACACACTCACACACAATTCACACATACATACCATATCATGCTTAAAGATCAGGGATGTACTGCTTGATGGCCTAGAGAAACTAGACTAGTGGGAAACACTTGTTAAGATTTGGTTACCTTTGCCCTGTCATCCCTTCTCTAAGTCCCCATGTATATGCCATACTCCCACGATGAAATTTAGAGATATTTTTGTACTTGGTGTACTGAGCCTGCTTACTTATCCTTAAGCCAGAGAGTAGAATTTGGTGAAATTGACTATGCAACTGAATTGAATATCCAAAAACCCTAGTCATTTTCTATTCCCCAAATACCATAACACCAAATGTCCCATTTAGAATCTTCAGGCTTGGTATTTCCATGCTCATTTCAAAATTTGCAATTTCCCTGCTCTTCTCTCTGCTCATCAAATTTGAGGGCACGTAATCCATACAGTGCCCTTTATACAATAAGCACGCAACAAATGTGTACAAGGGAAATATACTAAAATGCCTTTCTGAAGTGCAGACCAATTATTTCTTCCTCTTCTCTTTACCCATTGGACAGACACCGGAGCAGATATTCAAAGAAGTGCCTGAACAGAATTAGTTATTCTTGTTGTGAAGATAAACTTCTGAGGCACCAGATAATGCTGATTTTTTTTCTTTCTTTCTTTCTTTTTTTTTTTTTTTTTGGTCTTTTGAGGCTGGGTCAGCCTGCTTTATGTTCTGAGTGAGCTGTGTAGATGTGTGCCTATGAGCTGGGGGTGAGGTTGGAGGAATGAGTGACTATATTCAGCAGGCTTGACAGCATTTTCTAAATGTTACTACTGTTGGCAAAGTCTTATCTTAGATGAGGTGGTAAATTAGTAAACTGCCATGGAGAAGTATGATTTTGTAAAATTAGATGGGGTAAAAAGAAACACAATTAATTCCAGACCCTCAGGCAAGAGTGATGAAGTAACTGGAGTCTTTGTTCTTTTCAGACTATCAGATACACCATCTTTTCTTCTGAGTAATAGCAGGCACTCTCGGGCTGTCAGATGATATGCCAGGTATGCACTTGCAATGTCAACAAGGCCACCCCAGGGTTACATGTTGGTATCTTCAGGGAAAAAGAGTGAATCACTATCCAGCTGTCTGTTTTCTCCTGTTAACCCTAAGCATCAGTGTTACATCTTGTCACATTTTTAAAATGACCACAGAGTGGTTATCAGCTCTTTTTATAATTAACTTACACTCTAAATTAACCAATGAGATACATGTTGAAAGACCCAGAAAACCCCATCCATATGAAAATACAACTTAGGCCCATGCAATAATTCATATTTTAAAGAAATGCTGGAAACACTTTAGGTAGATGGTGACTGAAAAAAAACCTCGTTTACTATTTGTGCACAGCCTCATGCTGAGAAGAGAAAAAATAAACATAGAAGAATAGGGTGCAGAGTTGTGCAAACTGATGGCCACATATACGAGCTTAACACTATGTGGGGACTTCCTAGTAGGTATTCTATGTACTGTGTGAGACTTGCCTTCCTTCTGCTATTGTATTTCAGTTTTCTTTGCATCTTCTGAGAAAGTAAGTTCCCAAGTCTTTCAACAATGGGTCTCTGGATTGCTGTACTCTAAAGGCAGGACTCACTTCATGTAGGTATTATACATACAGGTTTTCATTCTTAACCCAAACAACTTAAAATTATTTGCTCATGCCTAGAATCCCAGCACTTTGAGAGGTTGAGGTGGATCTCTTGAGCATAGAGTTCAAGATCAGCCTGGGCAACACAGGGAGACCCTGTCTCTACAAAAAATTACAAAATTAGCTGAATGTGATGGTGCATGTCTGCCACTCTCTCGGGAGGCTGAAATGGCAGGGTTGCTTGAGCCTGGAAGGTTGAGGCTGCAGTGATCTGTGATGGGACCACTGCACTCCAGCTGGGGTGACACAGCAAAGCCTGATCTCATAAACACACAACTCCCACCCCCCAAAACAAAAAAAGATTTAGAAAGAAGGCATCTTAGAGATTAAATATAGGTCTCATACACTGCTAAAGTCCTTTTTCAGTGGTTTTCTGGAAAGTGTTTCTAGAGACACTTGTTAAGAAAAATAATCAGAAAAATGTAAGAAAACAGACTTACATTAATCATCACTAGATGAATTGCTTTGTCTTTAGGTAGAACCTTTCTGCTGAGAGGGAGGATTTACAACTGCGCTCATCTGATTCAGAACATACGTGGGATTCACTAGTATGACACCTCAACAAATGGTCACTTCACACATGTCAATAACACTCATTTCACAACTATTTATTGATGATCTATAATTTGCAAGTTGTAGTCTGAGCACTAGGGTATAGCAGCAGGCTCTTTTCATGGAAGATACATGAAATAAGTAAGTAAATAGTACAGGCAGCTATTTTCATTTGAACTGTGACAAAACCTTTCTGAACAGGAGGCTTTGAATGAATTTCTGAAAGGAGTCAGTCAAGCGAAGACATGGGACATTGCATTCCAGGCAGGGGAACAGCCCACTTAAAGGCCCTGAGGCAGAAACAAGTTGGTGAGTTTAGAGAAGCAAACGAACGGTAGTTGGTAAAAGCGAGTAAGCAACAGAGACAGTTGACTCACATGAGGTTGGGTGGTAAGTCATTGACTAGATTACATCACGCCTTGTAGGCACTGGTTAGAATTTCTGATGTGATTTAATTACAGTGGGAAGCCCTTGAAGGATTATAATCCAAGAGATTACTTGATTTTATATTTTAAATATATCATTCTTACTGTGAATAATATTCTGTGAATAAGAGATTATATGGGCAAGAGAGGAAGCAGGGAGACCAGCTGAGTATTGAAATGATACAGGATATAAATTATAGCAGTAATAATAGCAAACACTTAAACATGCTTATAATATGTCAAGTACTATTCCAAGGACTTTAAATATGGCAGCACACTGAGTCTTCATAACAACTCTACCATAATTTCATGTTACAGATGAGATAACTGAGGCACAAAAAGCTTGAATGGCTTGCCCATAGCTGTTAAGTAGCAGAAATGCAATTTGAAGTGTCAGACAGTTTATGCTCTCAGCTGGCCCTCAATTATGGTAGAAGCAGTGGAGGTAGAGAAACATGGAAAGTGTATTAGTGCTCTATTGCTGTTGTAACAAATTACCACAAACTTAGTGGGCTATAGCTTATGTCTTTATTATCTTCAAATTCTGTAGGCCAGTTTTACTGGGATAAAATCAAAACCTAAGCAATCTTATGTTCCTTCTGGAGGCTCTAAGGGAGAATTCATTTCTTTGTGTTTTCTGGCTTCTAGAGGTCAGCCCCATCCCTTGACTGCATCATTCCATGGCCCTGCATCACATAGCTGTTCTTCCTGTCTCCCTCCATTGCCACCTTTATCACCTTTACCTTGCTGTCTCTCTCTTTATTGTCTCTCTCCCTGATCTAACTCTGATTTTCCTGCCTAACTCTTATGAGAAACCTTACGGATTACATTGTTCCTACCCAGGGAATCCAGGATAATCTCCCTGTCTCAAGATTCTTAATCACAACTACAAGGTCCCTTTGCCATGTAATATTCACAGGTTCTGGAGATTAGAACATGGAAATGTTTTTTTCTGGGGCATGGGAGGGGAGTCATTGTTCAGCCTACTATGCACAGTTTCAAGATGTGTTTTACAGATACTATACAAAAAATTTTGCTGATCCAAAAAAATTTTGGAGTCATTGTTCAGCCTACTATGCACAGGTTCAAGATGTGTTTTACAGGTACTATGCAAAAAATTTTGCTGATCTATTGGATGTGGGGATTGAGAGAAGGATTTATGAACCAAGGATGCCTTCTGGATTTTTTTGGCTCAGACAACTGGCTGAATGATGCTACCACATATCCAGATGGACAAAACACTGGGGGAGAATCAGTTTTGTTGGGGTAAAATAGAGTTCAGTTTTGTCTGTGATAAGTTTGGGTTGCCAAGCTGAGTTCTCCAGTAGTTGGTTATAAGATAGCCATTGTATATACAAATCTTGAGTATAGTAGAAGGAATAAAGCTAGAAAAAGGAATTTAGGATTTAGCATTTTTATGTTACTTAAAAACCATAGAATGAGTTGGGATAATCAAAGAAGAGTATTGCTAGAGAAGAGGAGAGACCCAGAGACTGGTACCTTTGTCACGGATCCCTAAAAAATACTTAGAGGTTAAGTAGAGTTGGGAGTCAGCAAAGGAGACTGGAAAAAAAAATGGTCAAGAAGGTAAAAAGAAAACCAGGAAAGTGTGGTGATAGATAATCCCAGAGAAGAGTGGATGGAGACTAAATGTCCACCAAAATCCATTCTCTCCTTCTTCCACAGAATTAGACTAGCAGCTGGGCATGTGGCCACCCATTGAAAAACTGTATTTCCAAGCTCCATTGTACCAATATGTGACCACAGGACTAAATCTTCACAAATAACATATGCCATTTCCAGGCCATAGCCTTACCACGTTGCACATGTACCCTCTCACACCCAGCTTTCATCACGCTATGGAATGGTAGAGAAATACGAAAGAGAAATGGAGAGCAGAGCAAACCTCATATATGGCCTGTTTTGTGGGAGAGAAGTGAACATAACTATTCTTTAAGGCAAGGTATCATTAAGGTGTTTTTGTCTTTAAGCCACTATATTGTGTGATTAGCTATATTTTAGTTAATTCAGACATTGTATTAAATTAAATTAAATTTGGCCCAAAGGTGTGTCTTGTCTTTGAGTTCCTGTGTAACAAACTGCAACCTAACTTAGTATGTAAATAAATATGCTGCAAACTAACCTAAAAGTATATTGTAATAAATAGCTGAGTCCCAGCCACTTCGCAGTAGCTGAGTTTCAGTCATCACAGACTGCCAAAGATCAGACCATGTCCACATGAGGCAAATGCCCAGCTGTAGCCAGTCAAACTGGTTCTGTATGCCACTTTCTCTTTCTGTTTGTAAATACTGTCTGCCCACATTGCTGGGTGGATGTCTGTGAACTTTTCCTGTTTCAGGGTGCAGCCTGATTCGTAAGTTGTTCTTTGCTCAAATAAACACCTGCTAAATTTAATTTGTCTAAAGTGTTTCTTTTTAACAATTGATGCTATAAGTGGGGCTTTTCCTAACTAAGCCAATATATATGGCATCTGCATAGTGGTCAGGAGGCAGGTGGCCTAGACATACTGGAATGCTTATGACCTTTATAATGCTATAAAGAAACACTTGGTAAGCTGTGGCCTGCAACAAACTATATGGCCTGCACGCACCAAGACTATAGGGTAAAGAGAAACAACTGGATGTAGCTAGATTACTGTGTATTTCTAGCTCCTTGCTGCTTTAGAAAAATGTTTTTAAAAAGATACAAACTCAGAAAAATAGTGTCCAGAAATTTAGACCCTTTTATAAACATAAGAGGAAAAGCTAACTCCTATACCTTAAGCAAAAAAGAAAAGATAGTTGTTACCTGTAACCTTGAAGAAGAATAAAAAAACAAAACAAAAACATTAAACTCCCCAGGGAGAAACAAGCTAGGTAGGCAAAGAATGGATCAAGGGTGTGGTCGTCCAAACCAGGCCTCTTGGTTCAGAAGACCCAAAAGTAGCTGCCATTAAAGTAAGAAAGAGGTGTGTGTTAAATAATGAAACGAAGCAAGAATGAGAGTTATGCTCACAAAAGAACTTTAGTTAGGTTGCTAACACATGGGACTGATTATGAGCCAAAGTATCTTAATTCTATGAAGTTGTTGAGGGAATTGTATTTTCAAAGAGATAATTGCTTAAGCCTTAACCAACATACAGGATATCAAAATTGTATAAGCAGAAAATATGATACAAAAGTTGTACGGTTGCTAAGAGAACGCAGTTCCCACCACCTACTTTAGATATGGCCTTGAAGGATAATGAAGTAACAAAAACTTAGCAATGTCACTGGGGATGAAGGACAATGATCAGGAGTTCCAGGGAGCAGAACTAGTGTCAACTAAGGAACCTAGGTGCCAAAGCAGGGAATCTTCAAAGACCTGTCCAGTCAGAATTCCGTAATTCCTATGGACAAGTGGCTGATGTATTTTCCATTATTCTCTTTTAATTATTTATTAAATTTTTTATTTTAAAATAATTTTAGACTCACCAAAAAGTTGCTTGAATATAAAGTTTTCTTATACCTCTCACCTAGCTTCCCCTAAAGTTAATATTTTGCATAACCATAATATAATGATCAAAACTAAGATGTTAATATTGGCAAAATCATATTAACTAAATCAGAAACTTTGTTTTAGATTTCACTAGTTTTCCCATTAATGTCTTTTTTTTTTCTGTTTCAAGATATAATCTGTCACCCCTCCTCTAGTCTCTTGACAACCTGTGACAATTCCTCAACCTATGGCTTTTCTAGAAAACAGTATTGGTCAGTAATTTTGAAGAAAAATTTTCTTTTCTCAAAATTACTGACCCATACTCTTCAAAAGGGCCAAAGACATAAAAGACATTTTCAAGGTCTTTTGATAAAGTTTTTTCTATTTGGGTTTGTCTCATGTTTTCTTATGAAGAAGTGATTATGTCTTTCTCTGTGTATCATATTGAGGGCATATGAAATAAATATGTCTCGTTAGTGATTATGTTAACTTTGATCTCATGGTCAAAGCAGTTTCTGATAGATTTCTCCACTGTAAGTTGCTAACTTTTCCTTTGTGATTAATAAATGTCTTTGAGATGTTGAGAAATACTTTGTGACTATGCAAATATCTTGTTTCTCATCAAGCTTTTTTCTAATTATTTTAGCATCAGTTAGTAGGACTAATGGTGATTTTCATTTCTTCTATATTTATTAGTTGAAGTTTCTTATCAGGAAGAGTTGTCTCTCACATTATTTATTCGTATCAAGTAGACTTAGTGATATTTATTATATTTTATGGGTATAATATAACACTATCATTGTTTATTTTGTTGCTCAAATTGTTCCAGCTTGGTCATGTGACACTCTTAGATTTGCTTCTGGATCCCTTTGACATACCTCTTTCCTTGAATACCATTTCCTTACTTTCTGACACCATGCAATGCTCAAAGTTCACCACTGCATTTTCCCTGCCAAGCCCTGGAATCTACCTCTTCTCCAAGGACTTCTAGTTCCTTTTGTTGGGGAGAATTATGTTTAAAACCAAGAGGAATAGATATGCTCATTTCTACAAGGGTGTCATTACTTCTAGACCCTCTCAGTGCACAAAGATTGAATATATGTATATATATGTACATGCCTCAATTAGTGTGTGTATATATATATATATATACACACATACATATGTGTATATATATGTATGTATATATGTGTGTGTGTATATATATATATATATATATATACACTGAGGCATGTACATATATATACATAATATATATACATATATATACACTAATTGAGGCATGTACATCTACATTTCTGTATCTATTTGTATTTATATTTAAAAAAACATTAATTGCTACTGATACATATGATTTTAGTCCAACACTACAGTATTTATTCTAGCTTTCTGCCTTTTCT